TGTGAGATTCACTGCTACCGAACACCAGCCGTTGCCTTAGAAACCATAGACTAAGAAAGCTTATAGCATAAAAGCAATAGTTGGCGAGTCTGACCATAGCCTAGTACTTCCTCATAATCAATGTTTCTTGATAGGATCAGTCATACGAGATCGTTCGTTATCACAGGTTGTTCAGCAGCTTGCAACAAGGCAGCTAAAACTTGACTCACAATGAAACAAAATCTCGACTCAGAGCAGCAGTGACGTTGGGCAAACTTTGGGACTTGTACGACTTCGCTCCCCTCCTAGAGAGGCTTCCATACGCACCCATCTAGATCTTCCTTCCTATACACTTCCAAAAACATGTATTTCCATCTATTCCGGCAATACTCTTCGGTTTCAGCGAATACGACCCCCTACTAAATGACGATTTCGACCCCCTCCCTAATGGAAGATTGCCGATGAAATTGGCTGACCCTGTCTTGAACTTATCACCGAAAGAAGAAGATTGATGCGTTGGCGCTATGTCGCGCCATCATTTGGATGTGGCATGTTTAGTGAATGACTGCAAAGTCCTCTCCACGTTCACGCTCATTTGTAATTATGATTATGATTTTTTACGTTTTTTTTTTACTTGTGTTGATTAGTTCTTCTTAATTTGTTTTGATTTACGTGTTCTTATTTTTTGAGTTTAATTCTTTTGTGGACGGCCCACTGGTATATCGCACGTTTAGCTATTTGCGGGCGCTTTCACAGTCGGTCGTTGTTACAATCAGACGACTGACTACTAAAACGCCCTTGTGCATGGCGCGGTTTCGGCTTAGGAGGTGTCAAAGTCTGCGAGCCATCCCGGAATCCACGACATTCGCGCGAATCGCAAGTGCCGCGATTAATGCTGCGAGATGCTGCTTCAATCCCGCCTTCAATTCTGCTTTGATTGTGATGATTGAATGATGGCTGTTTGTGACCTTCCTTGTTTCCTGCTCAACTTTCAAATGTTCATGATTCTTACTTCTTTCTTTCCAGGGCAAAACTCTGCATGAAGTTTTGACGAAAAGTGGGTTCGCTAATCAAACAATGTAACAGTCCTCTTATCTAATGGCGAAACCTTGAATTAATTGTTATTGATCGGGGCACATGCAGTTTATATGGTTCGCGCGAACTCGAATCGCGGCGATGTATCGCGGACTCTGACACCTGCCTTAGGCTGATGTCATAGTTTGCGAATTGAACGATTCGCTGCACTAGCGAATCAAACTTTGCACCAGCGACTCGACACTGTTGAAAGTGGCAGGACCCAAAGTTTAAAGGAAGTCCACTCTAAAGGACCACACTGTTTGAAATGGTGGGCCTTCTTTTGAACGTTGGGGTCCCGCCACTTGGTTCAAACGGTCGGTCAAGCCTGGCCAGGGTCAACCGTCACGTTGGACCGATTTCGAAAATTTTACGACCCCCCCCCCTTCTAGAGGGCCTCGATACGACCCCCTCAGGGTCAACCCTTCACCACCTCGCCTGCCATCGCCATCATGGGGCTCATTCTATAGTATTCGATTCTGAGACCAGTCGACACAGCCCAAACTCCGCCCACTTTTCCTCCAAAATTGCCGCGAAGGGGGGGGTATACACACCGTGAAACGGCAAAATTTTAGCGCGCCAACCAACTGCATCATCACTTCCCTTACTGTAACATTAACGCTACCTCGCGAAATACGACCCCCCCCCCCTTTTTCCACCCCAAATACGACCCCCCCCCCCTCGTTGGACTTTGTCCAACGGACGGTTGACCCTGGTCGCTTGTACATGGTTCGACTTGCTGGCGCACCGCTCGGATCCAGCAATTCGCTAACGGGAATCGCTCGATTCGCAAACTATGACATCGGCCTGGATTACGCGAAAGGTTGAGTGGCTGCGATGCGGAGCACATTCGGAAAACTTCACTTCTGGTAGGGGTGCGTCACTGAAAATGCTTTCTTTTCTTCTGCGCACCCTTGCACTTTAGACCGACGTCATAGTCGGCGACGGACCAAGCGATGGAGCGATCGCGATCGCTCCATCGCTTGTCCGTCGCCGACTATGACGTCGGTCTTAGCCTCACTCGACGCTTTCGTCTGCGCTCTCTCACCTTATCAGCGGCTCATCACCACTGCGATCTCACACATTCAAACTTTTGCCACAATGCAATTGGCTCACCCACCTCGGATTCCCTCCCCCTTACAAGGCTTAGTCCTAAGGCTCTCACCTCCCTCCTTGGGATTTGGAGCCGAGCCAGGCGCCATTCTCTGATCGTCTGTGCTCTCCGCCATTCGATGCTGCGACCATAGCAACGAAACTGCAAGTAGCCCGCCAACAAGTTTACGGACTACTTGATTTTTCCTCAATGGTCCTGCCGCGATGGCTAGAGCACAGACGATTAGAGAATGCCCTAGGACTAAGCCTTGGAGAGGACCCGCTAGAGAGCGCAGAGGCGGTAAAGGGCTGAGTTCAAGTAGTCCGTCAACCGAACGCACGCAGTCCCTCCTATTCTTCAATCCCCCCAATTAGAGCGTATCCAAACTTTCACAGATGAATCTCCAAATTCCAAAATTAGGTATGAATAATGGCCTTTGCAGATGGGTGGGAAGTGTGAAGGCAAATGTCTAACGACAAAAACCGAACATAAGACACGCTGTCCTTGCGAGGGTGTTCCGTCCCTCATATTTGACACTCCGCTGAGCGATCATTCGACAACATTGAATAAAGTCGTCAAACTCAGGCTACAAAAAGTAACCATGGACCTTTTGCGGCAAATGTAGTACTTCTTGATTGTAAGTACTTTTCAAGTCTAGAATAGAAGGGTATGATCAGGTCAGAGCACAATTGGACAGGCGCTTCTTTCGTTTGTGTGATTCATTATTTACTTGGATGATGCTATCCTTTAGACCTCGCGCGACTTCCTTTGATTAGATAAGGTCATAGTGGAGATACTTATCATAAAGGGTTGGCTGCCGCTCGATTGTGCTATTCTCCCTCCTCCAATGTACTCTCTTCCCCTTTTGTTGTTAGTTTATTTACAAAATATTAATACAGGTATAGTACAAATATTGGGTTTTCATTGAAAGTAACAAGACGTGTTATGTTCTCATCTGCAAATATGGGGTTAAAGTTCTCGAATTCGCAAAAAAAAACAGCAGTGGAAGAGGCAAGCTTCCCCTCAAATCGCAGTATAGGTTGTCCTTTGCTAATTCAAAGATTGTTTCTAACCTGATTTTTTCACGTGAAAACTCAACATTTTTCGAAATTTCTAAGCCTGAATTCTTCCCTTAATAGGCAGAACACATCTCAACCGTGTTGAAAGTTTTCGAAATCACGAATGCACTCAAATCACTTGTTTCTATCGCATGGCCGATCGCGTGGATATTACTGCAACCGTGGGTTTGGGGTTTGACGGTATATGTTTTGGTTGCATGAAGCTGCACCCTGAGATCCGGCACAGAACGAAGAGTTCAACGGTAAAAACTCCGAGGACTCACATTCTCGCAGCACATCCTTAAGGTTCTTAGACGCTAAGGGACTGTGTTGTTACAACCGAAACGATGTGCTAAGTTTGGGGGGACCACCGGACCGGCGCGTACTTGCTCGCCGTGCGTAGTTGCAAACTTCGGCGAAATTCCGGAGTCAAGGGGGGAAGGTGAGGGCAGTCGCTTTTTTTCGACCATGCGGGAAACTGAAGTCCTCCACAAGTTACACTATCTCGCTCTATAGAGTTCCGAAACGGTACGTTGGCATGCAAAGGAAGGAATCATTCGCAGAGTCACGCTTCCAAACCCACTTCTCTATTCCGACCACGCTGCGAACAGCACGACTACTCGGAGAATTGGTAGAACCATGCACTATTGTTTGTGATTTTGCCGTTGGGCTCGCTCTGTGGTGGGACCTGTAACATGGATTTCAATGATCTGTTCACTGATCACATAGCGTTTTCATTGATCCAAACCGCTGTTTTTAGCATCATGCAAAGGTGTCGCGTCCAAGCTCCACCGTTTCCAGTATTAGTGTTGTGGAACCATTGAGAGGGACCGGGAACCTCGTGACTTCGACCGTGCTTCGTTTTTTTGTAGTAGATGTCAAATCTGTCGAGTAAAGTCGTGCTGTTCCAGCTGTCGGGAAATAGAGAAGTGGGTTTGGAAGCGTGACTCTGCAAATCTGCTCTCTGCCTTAACAAGAGGAGCTAGTAATCATCATGCATGGCGATTCTTACGGTTAACTAGGTTAACCATTTGCTAGCACTCACCTGATATTGACATTTTATTGATTGTGCCCAGATGAATGCATCAGCCGCTCGTTCATGGCTTTTTAAAGTGGCCATCTATGTGGTTTTTATAGTCGCTGTCGCTTGCCAATGTCACCATAATGGAGGGAGCCCGGCAACAAAATCTCTCAAAAATGCTGAACATTTTCTACCTGGACTTCTCAGTAACACTTAATGCAATTTTAATATCAGTTCTACGGGAAATTCTTACAAATATGCCCTCAACGATACGCGATCGTTGCTGTCAACGGATGTTAAGAAGCAGTAATGCAGGGCATGTTTTGTTTAAAGCACCAAATGCCAAAATCGATTTTTCGGTTTGTCCTGACCTCTTTTCTAAATGTTCTCATTCTTTTCTTGATCTTTGATGACCTATCTGTTTATTTGCGAGATGGTCATAGTATGTGACGGAGGAATAATGAGCACCTAGCTACAAATACTTATGTTTTACAACATGTCCCGAACCGAAGCTCAACAATTTCTTCATGCCAGTGTTTGAAGAATAGCGAAAGCTGAAAAGTAATCAATACTATACTAGTTTTTACACAAACAAACATTGGACCTATTCTACTCGACAGATAACCTATGAAGCTTTTCTGGTCTCATCTATGTGCATCAGATCGTTCTTCTCGGTTGCTCTCTAAAACTTACCGAGTGTCTAAAACCTTGCAGTAACCTCCTTTTTCAGAGTTTTCGTGTATACTGCTAAGCATCTTTGATTAGGTCCACGAATATGCCCTTCAAAATTGGGATCATGGGTGGATCTGGTTTGGAGGATCCACAAATTCTGCACAATGTAAAAGAAGTGGAACTGACTACCCCCTATGGCAAGCCAAGCGATAAGTACATAGTAGGTGAGTGGTTTTGTTTACATTTCATTCGTTTTCCTCAAGAGATTTGGCGAAGATTGCGTTGCCGCAGGTCTTCATATAAGAGGTTCATGCGTTTTGCTAACAAATTTACTTAGACCCGCTCTAATGCCACGGTTCTCAACGAAAAAGGCATTCTAGGCATGTGAACAAGCGGACATGGAGCATGGCCAGACACATCGCTTTCCGTTTTCATAAAAAACTTGTAGAGCTTTCTTATATATTGGAACAGGAACGATCAGAAGTCACAAGAGTCAACCAGTTGCTGAGTTAACCCGTATCCCTCTCTAAAACAATGACAAGCTCTAGTTTCGGACAAAAATGGAATTTTCTGTTCGAACGAATTTCAAAAACTTGAAAGTCGTTGATAACACATTCGCATAGCTCTTTGGTGGTCTGTGACGGTTTTTTTGAGAATAGAAAATATGTACTGGGTACACCAGTAATTTCGCCCAACCCCGTAAATGCTTCTAGTTGTCACAAAGAAGCCAATTTTTTGGTCATTTAATATCCTCTAGGGGCGTTACCTTGCAGCGTAATCGGCATCTACTCATACTCATCGTGGTGCATAATCCTCACCAAAAAGTATCAGTTGAGAATAGAAAATATGTACTGGGTACACCAGTAATTTCGCCCAACCCCGTAAATGCTTCTAGTTGTCACAAAGAAGCCAATTTTTTGGTCATTTAATATCCTCTAGGGCGTTACCTTGCAGCGTAATCGGCATCTACTCATACTCATCGTGGTGCATAATTCTCACCAAAAAATATCAGTTGAGGTTTACGGACTACTTGCACTTTCGTCCATGGTCCTGCCACGAATGGCGGAGAGCACAGACGATCAGAGAATGGCGCCTGGCTCGGCTCCAAATCCCAAGGAGGGAGGTGAGAGCCTTAGGACTAAGCCTTGTAAGGGGGAGGGAATCCGAGGTGGGTGAGCCAGTTGCATTGTGGCAAAAGTTTGAATGTGTGAGATCGCAGTGGTGATCAGCCGCTGATAAGATGAGAGAGCGCAGACGAAAGCGTCGAGTGAGGCAGCTTAAAGGGCCGAGTTCAAGTAGTCCGTCGACCCTCAGTTGAGTCTGCGAGCGTGTACTCAAAAAAAACGAGCAAAGGAGTAATTTCTGTAAGCAAAGCAAAGCGCATGGTTGTGGAGCTTATCAAACTTGAAATTCACATCCAAATTAGCTGACAGTTTGCGGCAAATGCGGTCGACTCACACACAAACGCAATGTGGCACGAACTGCTGCGCTTTAGACCGACGTCATAGTCGGCGACGGACCAAGCGATGGAGCGATCGCGATCGCTCCATCGCTTGTCCGTCGCTTGCCAATCGCTCTCGGTCGAGCGATTGGCAAGCGATTGCGCAATCGCTTGCAAAGTGCACAAGCGACGGGCAATGGCTCTGCTCGATCGATACCGCAGCCGACTGCATTGACTGGGGGCGGGGCCAATCGCCCGTCGCTTGTGCACATTGCGCAATCGCTTGCCAATCGCTCGACCGAGAGCGATTGGCAAAGCGACTTGGTCCGATCGCCGGACTATGACGTCGGGTCTTAGCCATGGAGCGACAATCGACAGGTTGAGAAACAGTATATGCAAAATGTATGGTAACCATGGGTCATTTCTTTTAGGTACCATTGGCGATGTGGATTGCATACTCCTTGCTCGCCACGGTCGCAAACACAATATCATGCCCTCAGATGTGAACTTCCGAGCCAACTTATGGGGAATGCACAACTTAGGTGGATCTCATTTCGTTCTAGTATCAAATAGAAGGCTAAATAATGCAGGGTTAAAAAAAAAAACAAGGTTTCAGAGATACAAACGACTTCTAACACAAGCATCTCGGTCTTTAGAGATCTAAATTCACTGTTCTTCTAAGACTACTGAAATCGTAACTTTTAGGAGCGTCCGTAATAATTGCAACTATTGCTTGCGGCTCACTCCAGGAAAATGTGAAACCCGGCGAACTCGTGTTTCCGGATTCAGTTTTTGACCGGTACTTACATGTTCTTTATAACCATTACTCAAGCAGCTGATGAACAGAATTTATATCCGTTTGTTTCTTTTATAGAACCACAGGGCGAAAAAGCACATTCTTTGACGGGTCTAATCCACAGGCACCTGGTGTATGCCATATACAGATGCACCCTGCTTACAATGAGAAACTACGAAAGGTACTGTTTCACCTTTTGATGCGGATAGTCTGATATAGAATCGCAAGTAGCGTCTTTTACCATGTTCACGATAGGAATGTCGTATCGCATGTCGTTTAGCCAAACTCTCTCTAAAGCTGCGTTTTTATTCTCCCAGGTCATTGAACCAGCCTTGCCTGGAGGATAAATACTCTAGCTTGAACGGTACCTGGCAACAAATCATTGCATAGGTGGAAGGGCTTTCAAGTGCTGCTACAGTATTTCACCGCATAGAAGTAGGCATGACGCATCCACAAAAAGGGTTAACCAATTACGAATGCTCTTGATTATTTTGTCTATCCTTTAAGCACCGCTGCATCAAATTACAAACCTCATGTTCCTATGTGTACTCGACGCAAGAGCACAGTTGTCCATGTTCATAGATTTGCTAATGAGAATTACTGAGAAGAATATTCAGATACTCACTGGGCCGGATCTGCCTGCCACCTCAAAGCTCCAATTTTCATGACAGTGAGTTGCAGACGGTATCTGCATAGAAGGGCCTAGATATTCGTCAAGGGCCGAAAGTCGAATATTCCGCTCGTGGGGAGCAAACCTCATCAACATGACTATGATGCCCGAGGTACTCATGAGACATGTTTAGAAGAAAGTTGCCAACGTGTTGCTGAGTGTTTCAGTGCGTCCTTGCTAAAGAACTCGGTATTCCGTATGCCACAACTGCCTTAGTCACTGACTATGACTGCTGGAGAGAAGACGAACAGCAGGTGAAATTGCATGCATATTATTTAGAACAGAGAAGAGTGCACTGATAAGGCATTGAACTTGCAGATAGAAACAAGCCTGCAGAGTAATTTCAAATCCAAAATACATTCAACAATAAATTATTCAGGTGTCCATGGAGTTAGTTATGAAGACGTTCCACGAGAATTCTCACAAAGCGAAAAATCTGTTCATTGAGGCAGTGAAACGAATTGCCAAAGAAGACTGGAAAGATGAAATTGCGAGGCTGAAGGTACAGATTATTATCTAACTCGTAGTGTTTTAACAACCTAACGACCACGGGTTTTTCTGTTTTTTTTTGCAGCGCGGTACAGGAATTACTTTGCGAGTGTGGATACCTACCTCCACAACGCGAACTGTTTTATTTTTATCAAAATTATGAGTGATAAGTATGCAAAATTGTATGGCACAAAACCATTTCAGCGATGAGGAATTTGGTAAAGTTAATCGGGGGTATAGTAGTAGATCCCAGTGAGAAAGTAATAAGAAAGTGAAAGCAAAATTTACTCTTCTCTTTGTAATAAATAATGAAAGTATTTTTGACGCTTCGCCAAGAAAATATGTTGCTAGCCAGGTTTGTATTTTGCTTCCTTTAAATTAATTCTAAATACCCTTTAAAATTTGCATGGATTGTGAGGACCAGAGAGAAGAGGAATGAACAACTTAAATATTAATAGAATATGAAAGCATCACATGTTGACTTTAGTATAAGTCGATGATGAGATTTGTTAGGTTTTCGCAAAATGACTGGTTTCAGAAGTGCTTAGCAGATGCGGTTATGGTAGCGACGAAGTCACTATTCCTCATCTTGTCGTTTGAAAGAGTCCTATAAACTTGTCAACACGGTTGTAATCAGGAATGTCAGGAATGAATGTCCTTTTCTGAACTCTTTTTATCTTCCAATCAAACACGAGATAACTCTTAATTGTTTCATTGTGCTCGGAAAATTCATGAATTTCAAATATCAAGTATTACAAGGGAAGCGAACGAGTCTTTGAAGCAGATCAACTGATCAGTAAAAGAGGTCGCTTGAAATTCTCACATTTGAACAAGTGGTGATAACGAAGTTCTTCTTTAAAATACCGGTATCAACAATGTCTTTACCATCAGATATACGAAGAATGTCCACACACAATTTGATCAACCCGGTACGCAAATAGATCGCTGTTGATCTGCGTGGACGTGTCGATTAGGGCATTCTTCATCACAGTATCCACATATATCTAAGAATACATATATTGTGGAAATGCGACTGAACGCTACGCTGAATAAACCAGGAAATCAAATGAAATTAACTTATCAATAAAATAGACATCCATAATAATATAAATAGAAAAACTGTAACAAATAACAAAAGAGTGAAATGAATGCTTTCGACAACAACCCAGGATGAGGTAATCCTATGGCCTATCTCGTGGAAAGAATAGAGTTGTCCACGGGGATTGCATAAGTGTCGTTGTTGCTCAAAAGTGGGCGACAAAGGCGCTAGAACGTCGTGAAAAGAGCAATTCCGATAAAGTGGACGAGATAGCTCGAGCTAACTACCTGGCACACTACGGAGTATAACATAGCGGCTAATTACAATGTAAGCGGGATTCGCTATCCGAATATTCGTTAGGTGTACTTATCAACGGGAGTAGGAGTTAACCTAGTTAAAGGTTGGGGGGGGGTGTTACTGTGCGACTCTCAATTAACGAGTAAGAGTCCAAACAGCACACGCGTTGTTGAATTAGACCATTCAAAGAAATACAGGAAGCAGAACTGCTGCAATAGCGTGCATTTGTGAGAGTAAAATATGAATTACCGAGTCTAGGGGTTGACAGAAATCCTGAGACGGTGAAAACCAGTGAATCTGTGAGGGGCAATGTAGCAGAGGCTCTGTTTGTCCTTGGAGGGGGGTGGGTGGGCCATTCAAAACAGGGTTGATGGTAGCTGACACTAGAACTAAGCCCAGGAGAAGGAAGAAACGCCAGGGAAAGCGCAATCTGCTCATCGCATTCTCCCCCAGAGTCCCTTCCCTTCCCTAATGCTTAGTCCCAAGTACCTACTACTACTACATGCTTGCTGTAGTACTACTACTACATACAGTACGCTACCTCACTTTGATGCCTACTGTCCCAACGACATGAGCGCCATGCAGCAATTCAGGAGATGGGGGGGGTGGGTGCGAGTCGCTTAACATGGGCGAGAAGCTGAAATGTGCGAGTTTATCTATCTCGCTGAGAGGACGCCGACAGCGGCGGCAACCCTGCCCCAAAGTAAGTCAGCACCGGGAATCGCTCTACTCTGCTAATCTACAGAGCTAACAATTGTTAGCATGGAGCCAGTAAGGTAAGAAAACTCATCCAAACACCCATTTCTCATCGCAACGCAGAAGAGGGGGGCCTTTTTGAGAGCTCCATCGGCCATTCCTTTGATATCTTCGCGCCCCTACCTTCAATTATCGAGCGCTGAATAACAAACACCAACTTGACCCCAAGTTGTTGCCTTAAAGGAATCCTTCGCGGAAAATTCTTGCATTCTTTCTTGACATGGATGTGTCAGTTGTGATCACTGGAAACAGCACGCAAAGTTTCACGCATGAAGATTCGGTTTCCGAAGAGAAACAAACGTCCAAAAACTACACGTTATGGACATCGAAGGTAATTCGGGCGGAGCCAAACGAGACATGGAAAGAAGTTGGCCTTTAGCCGGCTACGTATCAGGCGAACAATCGATTGCAGTAGAAGTGTGAATAAAGCAGAAAGTCAGAAAGAGTAAAGTTATGATGTCCAAGAACCAAAGTAGAGCATCCCCGTCGCCAGCATTTGTGAAAGACGTCCGTGGGCACTTTGAACGCGTAGCAGCCCTTTCGATTTTTCGAATTTTTTACCAAAACGAAAGCAATATTTCTGTTCTTTTATTCTTATCGTGGATAATGGTTTTTCCGCGAAGGATTCCTTCAAGTAATTGAAAAGTCAGGTTGTAAATGCTCTTCTTTGAAGATAGATTGGCTTAAGTAACCGTATGATGAAGAAATGACAGCAACTACAGTTACATTACCTGGTAGATAGATCGTATAAGCTCGGGGATACCAACAGCCGATGGATCAGTATTCATAACCATTTTCAATCCAGTAGGAGTTTCCATATAATTCATCCTATATGATGACGTCTTGAAATACCGAACCAGCTGATGCCTAAACAAAGTAATTTGGAAATATTTTGAGCTATACACCAGCGATATCACAAGCAATACAGCATTTTCGGTGAAACTCGGGTTCGAAGGGAGGGGGGCATTCGTCTGCTGTACCAAAGCTTAGTCACCAAATGGCGCGTATTTTGAAACTGCCACATAATGGCGAAAGAGTAACTGTCCCTGTGGACTAAGCCTGGAGGAGCAGACGAACAGAGCGCCGCGCCATCGCGTGCCCCCCCCCCCCCCCGAACCCGAGTTTCACCGCATTTTCTTATCACGGCAGTCTGAGTGCCGCGTATGTGAACAAGCAGACATTCTGGTAGGGGCGGAAATACATTTGCTTTCGTGTGTTATAATGGCGCAGCTTTTTTCAAACTAACTGTAACATTCTTTGCGTATCAAAGCCAGATTATGTGTGCCTCAGTTGGAAATTCAGAATACGTAGCTGCTACTCCGTGTTGCTGACTGTTAGCAAAAGTATCACACGAAAGCAATGCTCGTGGTTAGAACAAGCAGGAAGAAGGTATCTAAGCACAGAAAAACAAAGCTCCTTTGCACTGATAACTTACCCATCCTTGCTGGAAAGTCGTTCCGAAAATGACCGAAGCGACACTAGCATTCCAAACATGAGTTTGAATTCCTATAAAAGTGAGGTGGGATGATTTTCATTCGTTGCTGATTGAGAGAAAAACCCTGTCCAAAAAACTGAATCAACGAACACTAAACCAACCTCGCTCTTAGCCATTCCTGATTGTTTATCCCTTCTCCATTCCTTGTAAAAGATGCAAGTCCCATCCCGATTGAATAAATAAAAATTATAAATAGTCATACAGTACACCCTGAAAGATCTTTGTGAACTTTGTGATCTGATACCACAAAGATAAATTCCAGTAACATGTTAGTACATGACAGTTAGTTACAGATAGTTACCTTTGAAAAAGAAACCTGTAGCTAGGCGTCAAACATGCGACTTCTTGTGCAGTCACGTAATAAACACTTGCTCTTCACGCTCTCATCGACACAATTCAGAATTTAAGCGGTTTCCGACTTAATTTATTGAAATTAGGCCGTCTTATGGTAAAAATCCTCTAATTTCTAGACTCAGAAGTTAATGCGTTATGTAAAACCCACTAATTCAGATCTCATGAAGTAATCCGCAGTGACTGTTGGAGTTCACTCTGTAGTGTTGCCGTCGAACTTGTCGCAGTGGTCACAGAAGAACGACTGGTTCATTCTCAGGGCGGTCTCCTCTTTAGCATAGTCGGTATGTTTTGATAACTTCTTGTCGACGAATGTCTGTGTCAATGAATAATGTGCAAAGTCTCAGCCGATTCTCAAAGAAAAATACGAGGAGGAATTAGAAATGAAGGAAGAGCCGCAGCGGTGTGCTGCCATCTTTTCAAACACTATGGTGGTGTCAGAGTCCGCGATCCGTCGCAGCTTCGCAGGTTTTGCGCGAGATTCGCGCGAATCGCAAAAATCGCAAGTGCCCCATTTGAACATTTGAAACACTGAATATGAAACAAGTAGAATCATGAACAGTCGTCATTCAGCCATCACCATCAAGCAGAAATGGCGGCGGGATTGGAGAGCACCTTGCAGTATTGATCGGGCACTTGTGATTTCTGTGATCCGTCGCGCGAATCGCGCGAAACCTGCGAAGCCTGCGACGGATCGCGGGCTCTGACACCAGCCTTAGAATAGATGCTGCCTGCAGTTTTCGCAGGAGAGGCTCCGGGACGCTTGATCATTTTGTCTTCGCTTTCATATTCGTCTCAGAGCTTCCACTCAAGATTACAAAATTTGTTACTACTGTAAGCGGCACGAATCATTGCACCGAATGGTCCCATGCTTCCTGCAATACATAGACATGCAGAACCTCTGACCCGCAGATTGCTCTTGCGACATCTTGAAGAAGATCTCCATTACTGGAGCCTATCCGTGCTCCACTGTATTGTTTTTTGCTTTTCCTTCTTGTGTATGTCGAGAGCACTGTATATATCTTCTCTCGATTGTTTTGTTTCTTATTTAGCTTACGATCTGTAGCCAGTCGCATAGTAACGCTGTATGTATGACTTGCAAACCACCTACTGCTCGTATTCTCATTTTGTGATGGGTCCGCTTTTCTTTCTCAGTAGGGGATAGAGAGCAGAAATAAAAGACCATCGGCTGTACACAGCGTGAGGTTCAAACATGCGTGGTGGTTTTCCTCGGTAAAGCCTTGTTGAGATGTTTAGTGTCGAATGTGTTGGTAAAATTCCACAAGATTTCTTGGGAATTTCTAAAATTTTCGCTTTTCCATCTATCCACCCTACTTCCTCGGTTGCGACAGTGCGACATTTTATCGACGCCAAACTGGACACGGCTGGAAGCAACAATCTGTGATTTTCCGTGATAAGCTTTCTGTTCCTGGCAAAAGGATTCGTTAGGGTGGGCCTATTTCTTCCGAGTTGGCTGATAATCACCACAAGGGTGTGGTTCACTAGGACAGGAACGACTTTTCCGCGCTTTGCTCGCGAAACATTTTTCGACGTACGAAGGACTGCAAGGTTCGCATTGTTCACATCGAGGGCAGCGCGCTGAGGTTCCTCGCACGTGAAAACTGTTTCGGCGCTGCGGAATAGCTTCTATTCTTGTTCAAGATATGAGCGACGT